AAGCAAGAGCCTATGTGGCATTGCTGCTGGTGGGGGCGGTCGCGGGGAGCTGAGGGAGTCCCGGGGAGCCGGTACCCCCAGGAGCGCTGGACAAAAGCCTTGGCTGTGTGCGCTGCCACGGCGCTGTGTCTCGGGTGTGTTTTCTCCGCCTGTAGAGCAACTTGATTTGCTGCATTAGTAAAAATAGATGGGCTAATGAATTCAGCTGATGCAACCCTCTGTGTGTGTGTGTGTGTGCGCGCGCGTGCGTGCGCTTCTCTCTGTTTGTGTGTGCACGGGGGCATGGGTATGTGCAGCTGAGCGCCGGGGCTCCTGCAAGGTGCCTCCCCCCGCTCCTGGGGCTCCGACGGGGTGGTTGTGTGCGTGTCCGTGTGTGTCTGGGTGTACATGTATATAAATACGTGTGCGTGTGTGTGTGCAGGAAGCCATGAGCGATGGCTGCTTGCTGCCAAGCAGCGCTCTGTCACTGAAGCAGCGGCTCTCCAGAAATAATTTTGCAGCAGCCTTGGATCCTGGCAGGGCAATAGCAGGGCTTCACAGCAGGCTGGCGGGGCAGGAGGGGGGACTGCAGGGACCCGGCGCGGTGGCAGTGGGCATCTCATAGGGACCTGGCAGGGCAATAGCGGATGCTCATGGGGACCTGGCGGGGTGACAATGGATCCTCTCAGGGACCTGGCAGGGTGACAGTGGATCCTCGTGGGGACATGGTGGGGCAACAGTGGGATCTCACAGGGACCTGGCAGGGCAATAATGGATCCTTGCAGGGACCTGGCAGGGCGACAGTGGATCCTCTCGGGGATCTGGTGTGGCAATAGAGGATCCTCTCAGGGACCTGGCGGGGCAATAGGGGATCCTCTAGGGGATCTGGTGTGGCAGTAGTGGATCCTCGCAGGGATTTGGCGGGGCAATAGTGGATCCCCGCAGGGACCTGGCGTGGCAATAGGGGATCCTCTCAGGGACCTGGCGTGGCAATAGGGGGTCCCCACAGGGATTTGGCATGGCA